CGTTATGCTCTCGCCAGATAAGGGAAATAGACGAGGTCCAAGTTAACCGCCACACACGTCGACGAGCAGGTTTACCAAAGCTAATATGGCGTACCCAAGTCAACTGAATAGACCAATAAGCAATCTCGTGCGACGAACCAGCATAAGAAGCATACCATCCCAAATTGCCTTACTGAAAGGGCACTCAAAGAAAAGATGGTCACATAACTCCTGACCAGCACAAAAGACACAATCAGAAGGAACTGCCGCATCCCAGTGCCGAAGATGATCATACGTAGATAACCGATCTCGAACAGGCAACCAAGCAATAAAAGAGTTCTTAGGGATGTTGCCCTCAAACCACAGCAGATCAGCGTAAGAAATGAGCGACCGACAAGGACGCAACACCCCTTACGCACTAGATATCGAGAAATGGCTCGACCAATGCAGGATTCAAACCAGAACATCCATACGCCCAACCACCGCCTGCACAGACATAACCTCTTGAAGAATATCAAGAAGGTCAATTGAAACAGAAGGCCACTGCCAAGAAACAATTCCCTGATACATAATTTGAACATTTCAGATTCTTTCAAATTCTTGATCCTCTTTTTACTCGTTGTGAGCTAGCAAGGGGACCTAAAGAAATACAGATCAAAAGCTCCCATGATACGGGGTTGATTTAGAAAACTCATTAACCAAATGAACGAACATTCGTTAGCTACGGATCACTCCACTAAAGACCCGCAATTTCACTCTTCTCACTGTAAAATATGTTGTGCCCATGGATTTTGACCATTAACAATAAGTCAATCATTCACGAGTGTTCGTAACTACAGTTGGTTCACATTACCGTTTTACCCCTGAGTTAGCTCTTTTACCTTAAGTACCACTAATCACCTAATGAATAACTTGTTTATGGTCTAACCATTAAACATATCTCTCTCTCGGGCCAGTGAGAGGATGGGACCCTTTGTTCAAGTCCCGGAATCAGCATTTAAGCAGGCACTCATTTACTTACCCTAAAGTTGGGAATAAGTGAATTTCATCTTGCGTAGTTATATTTCCAGCTCCCCACTCGGTTGTAACGAAAAATGAAAAAGATGAACAATAGAAAGGAAGTAAGATAGAAAATGTTTACGAAGGAGAAAGGATTTGATTCATTGAAATGAGAACTAGTTACATGTATTTATAGGGAACTAAGAAAACCGACCACTAAGCCACTACCCTTGCATTTCTTTCTAATGAACCCACAATGCCACTAAACCCTAAACTTCTCTTCCACTAGCACCATTATGCCACTAAGTTACTAAGCCACAAATTACTCCTCAAGTTACATATCTACTCATCACTGCTTCCTATGAAATTAACAACCTACTAATCCATTAACTCGTAAAATCTCTTAAGCACTAACTGTTGGGTGTGTTGCCCTAAACTCGTAGTTTGTATTTTGTAAAAACAAATGTCTATTTAATAAATTTTTATTCAATAAATTTGTTGTTGAATCATAGCTTTGCATTGTCAAAAATCCAATAAACTAAACATCCAAGGTTATTTATGATGTAATCGGGACAGTATATATACTGGGTATATAGTTGATATACAGGGTATATATTTGATATACCCCTGATATATGAATGGATAATGTCCCGTGAATAACCTAAAGGGTCTATAGTATATGGATAAGGCTGGGTACCTTAACCTGGCAACACTATGGATATGGCCCACTCTGTAAAGGTTATAGACGGCTCGATCCAGGTCGTTCGTGTGGAGACATGCGAGTCGGGGTATCCTATGCAATGAGTTTGTATAAGACCGGACCGCGAAATAGGCAATCTTTAGATGTAACACCGTTAACTAATAGATAGCCATTTCTTAGGATGACCAGGAAACTCATTCTCAATCCTAAGTGAGTTATGCACTCCTGCCCGTGAGGGCTCGTTCTTTGATCTGTACGGGTGAGAGTGGCCTGAGTCACCGACTCAATATTCCTACCATTTTGGGGACGAGACCGAGTGGAGAGCTGGGAACATAACTTCACAAGATGGAATTCACTCCTCCCCGCCTTTAGGGAAGTAGGTGAGTGTTCCCTTAAATGCTGATTCCGGGACTTGAACAAGGGCCCACCCTCTCATTGGCCGAGAGGGACTTTCGGTTATTTGTTGGACCATAACCAGGTTGTTCATTAGAGGAGCAGTGGTGTTTAAGGAGTAAGATATAACTCAGGGGTAAAACGGTAATTTGACCCAACTTGAGTTACGAACACTCGTGAAGGATTGACTCATCATTAATGGTCGTATATCCATGGACACGAAAACATTCTGTAGTGAGAAGAGTGCAACTGCGGGTCTTTAGTGGAATGACCCGTAGTTAACGAATCTAGATTAACTCGGTCAATGAGTTTGATCGATTAATCTTGCATCGTTGGAGCTTCGGATCTGTAGGTCCATTAGGTCCCCTTGCTAGCTCATAACGGGTAAAACGAGGATCAAATTTTTGAAGAATTTGAATTGTTCAAATTACTTAAGGGATTATATGTATATTGATACATTATAATATATAGTTAATTCTAAATTAAAACTATATATTATGAGGGAAATCATTTATATTATAATTCTAAATTAAAACTATATATTATGAGAGAAATTATTTGAATGAGATTCAAATAAAATTACTATGAATATGATTCATATTAAAACTATAGGTTAAAAATTAATGCACATAAGATGTACATTAAATCTATAGGTTATACAAGAGAGAATATGGTTTAATTAAATATGAGATATTTAATTAAATGTTAAATGATTAATTGTTAATTATTTAATATGGTTGGGTTTTATGTTCTAAAACTCATAGTTTGAAAATGACAGATATACTTTTATCATTCAATAAAGTTGTTATTGAAGGTTTTAATCAATAAGTAGTTATTGATCCAATAAAATGTTCTTACTATATCTAAATCCAATAAAATAAAGCATCCTAGACTGTTACCTGAGACTCAAACTCTATGTAAGAGACATAAATATGGATTAAGTTTGAGTTAACAGTCTAAATGGTCTATAGTATAGGAATAAGGTTGGGCGCCTTATTCTGGGGACACTATGGATGCGGCCCACTTTGTAGCTAGTACAAACGATGTGATCCTAATTCGTTCATGTGAAGACATGCGAGTGGGGGTGTCCCGTGCAAAGAGTTTGCATATGACCGGACAATGAGATAGTCACTTTTACTTTATAACACCGTTTACTGTTTGAAACTGACTATCTCAACTTTGATGGCCTAGGTAACTCGATCTTAATCCTGAGCTAACTATGAACTTCTGTTTACTCGGGATTATCCTTAGATCTGCATGGGTGAGAGCAGCTCAACAGCGCTGGCTCAATAAGCCTCCCATTTCAGGGGTAAGACCCGGTAGATAGCTAGGGACATAGGGTGCAAGAAGGAATTCACTTCTACCCAATTTTGGGATAGTAGAGAGGTTGTTCTCTTAACGGCTGAATCCAGGTCTTGAACAATTGGCGCCACCCTCATCAAAAGGTTTGAGAGGATTTTTTGATTTGATAGTTGGACTACAAATCATTGTTCATAAGAGGATTAGTGGGACTTAAAGAACAAGAGGTAATTACAGGGGTAAAGCGGTATTTTGACCCAGCTGTAATTACGAACAACCTGTGAAGGGTCGACTTACCGATCATGGTTATATCAAATAGACATAATATATCTACAGTGAGGAGAGTGCAGCTACGGGCTTTAGTGGAGTGACCGCGTAGTTAACGATTGTTGGTTAACTAGGTTAAAGAGTTTAACCAATTAATCTCGGATCGTTGGAGCTCATGATCTGTAGGTCCATAAGGTCCCCTGGCTAGCTCATATAGGAATAAACTTGGAATAATTTGAAGGAATAATTCAAATCGTACGAATTAGGTTAATCATATGAGATATGATTAAGTAATTGATATATGATATCAATTTGAGAAATTTGGACAAAATATTTAAATAGGATTTAAATATTAAAATTATGAATGCGGATTCATAATCGGAGGCATGGATTTCATCAAACTTCGGATTTTGGAAAAAGTCAAATAGTTGACTTTGACCAGAGAAAGTCAAAGGTTGACTAAAGTAGATTAAAATAATGTTTTTAACCAAGTTGGTGCAAAATTCCACTAACTTGTTGAGTGAAACATTTAAATAATCTAAAAAATTCACTTTTTGACACTTAGTCATGCCATGCATGAGTGAAATGTGTGTTGTAAGCTTTTGGTGAACTTAGACATGCATTTTGACACTTAGTCATGCCATGCATGAGTGGAATATGTGTTGTAAGCTTTTGGTGAACTTTGAYATGCAAGAGTTGCATGTAATTTGYCTATTTAAGAAGGCTTTTGTTCAAACATCAAKATCTCTTGGAASCTTTGGCCATTTGATGTGTTTTCAAAAAGCTTACATAACTCMTTTTAGCTYCACTTTTCTCTAATTTTTTSCTTCTCTAAAAAGAGTCCCACCACTCTATTCCAAGCCTTGAGAATAGCTAGGAAGATCTCTTGGTGGTCCTTCATTGGAGCTATTTGAAGATTTTTGAAAAGCTACAAAGATTTGTATTCTTCTCTACTTATCTCTAAGCATCATAATGTATGATCATGCATGTTTAATCCTAGGTTGTATTATGCATCTAGATTATTATTTCGATTCTTGCTCACTTCCGCTGCGCATGTATGTATTTTCTCCATCAAATATTACATTTAATTAATTAATTATTAATATTAATTATTTATTAATTTGATATATTAATATTAATTATTAACTCCCCTGCATTATTGCAGGGGAGTGGGGAGTTAAGTGACGTGGGGTAACTCCCCACGTCACTAGTTTTCTGGGGAAAATTTGCATAAAGGTTCTGCAAAAACAGAACAACATGTATCTCCCAAGGTGAAGCTCTCTCAATCTCTCCCTCTCTTCGATCAAGGTGCTACCACAAGCACGATCCCCAGACCCAAGAGGATAGCGAGGAAGACATAGTGGTGGTGTTCGAGGGAAACTCGTTGAAGAGACGTTCTTCAAAGGTAAAGTTTCCTCTGTATTTTCCTTCTTTGGAATTCGATTTTGTATCCCGAAAATCAGCAACGAAAATCCGTTTCCGCTCTGGGATTCACAACACTGCACTAACATTATAATTAAACACAAATTTGCACTAATTTTTAACATCCCCCTTAGTGCAAACTTACGATCAACAACACCAAATGTGTGGTCAACAACACCAAGTGCACTTCTGAGTTCTTCAAACTTGTGTTTGCCAAGCGCCTTAGTAAATATATATGCAACTTACTCCTTGGAATGTATCTTCTACAGTTGAATGTCGTGTCAAAACTTTCTCTCGAACAAAGTGAAAATATGTTTCAATATGCTTTGTACGAACATGAAACACTGGTTCCCTGCAAGCTTAGACACTGGATAGTCCAAAATAGATAATATTTCTCCCATAAGTCTTTTCAGCCAAACGCACTATTGAGTAGTGATAACTCTCAGATAGAGAGTGTTTAATAGGCTATTCAGGGCATTTATGTTGCGAAAATGCGAAGATATCTAGAAATAAGCTTAAGAAAAAAAAGAATACATCGAGCGGGCCCTAAACTCTTGGAAGTTCTAAATCACTTTGATTTTCATGATTTAATGCTGAATAGTTGTTAGTTTTGTAGGGGCAGTTGAATTCAGATTTAAAGGAGAAGCATGCTGCCAAGTTGTGATGGTTATGTTATGTACAGAAAAGAAGCACTGGTCAGCAGCGTGGAGTTCATCCGGATGCTTCAGAGCGCGTAACAGCACAGTAATTCTTTGAGTTGGGAATATTACTGCATCTGTACAGCCTCTAAGAAGTGCCATAATTTAAAAAAGGGTATTTAAAGAAATGGAGACCAGCCGCTAGGGGCATTCAGACACCCTTGGAAGTTAGCACCATTTTTGGGAAGATAGAAAGAGGAGAAGATTCCCTCATCGACGAAGGGGATTGTTATCGAAGAATGAGCTGAAAGACACTGGTCGTGTCGTGGGGTTACACTGTACATCATAGGAAGCTTCTTATTCTCTATTTTCTCCTTCAGCAATGATTTCATCTTCACTCTTCATCATTTTCTTTTGCCATTTTAATATGAACTAACCTTCACCTTCG